AGAGTGGAAGGGGCAAGGTATCGCAAAGGAGAACTATTATTAGTTATCGCATGAAGGTAAGGTAAGTGAGTGGAAAGAGGGAAGACGCTTTCTGACTTGTCGTTGGTATATGTACTGACCACTTCAGGGCTGTCGCTTCAGAGCTTTAGGGCTGTCGCTTCAAAACCGCACATGCTTTAGTATGCGGAAATCACCGACTCAAATTGGCACGCCCTAAAGTCGCACTGCAATGCCGCTCCCAAATCTTCTTCTTTTCCCTTCTCCCACCTTCATCATTGTCTCCTCCTTGCCTCATCTGAACTTCCCTTTTTCGTGTAGCATAGAAATGTAATGTAGATGTAGAATAGAACATTTTGTACCTTACTATAGATTGATCACGACGAGTACAATAAGACAAAAAACAAAAACAAAAGAGACGTATGGTCGGTGCGGTACGAGCGGGCTGGATGACACGGAGGTAACTTTTGGCATAGTGACCCACCCCAGTGTATGCGCTGCCTGATCATTTTTTTTTTGCTATTGTGTCTTTCTCATTTAATCTCCAGCCCGATACCCTCTCGGCCATTGAATCATGAACAACAGCTATATTCCCGCTGTAAGTTCTTGGCTTCGTTTGATTTCATCTGCTAACACTATATACTGTCCAGTTTGAGTGTCGGCACACACTGGTCAAACATACTAAGCCGTTGAACACTTTGAAATTAAACAAGGATGCTACGATGCTCCTCAGTGGTGGTATGTGTCCTCGTCAATCCCTGTCCCTACATCGCTGACCCTGGGATAGCGGATGACGGGTTGTTACTTGTCTGGAATATCCTCCACGGGAGTCTCGAACAAACCATCTCCGTCACTTTCAATGGACCTGTCTCTGCCGCTGTCTGGACCCCAATCTCGCCAAACCGCCCCAGCACTACTTTCGCATTCGGTTGTGCCGACGGAACGATGTTTGCCTACCATCAAACCCAGGAAGATGTAAGTTTCTCCCTTTTCTTCTCATTATCCTATTAATCGTTGATGCAGGAACCTTACCACACTACATGTTTAGTTCCAGCCCACGACGGTCGTGTCGAAACCCTTGCCTTCGATACCCATCACCACCGCATTGCATCTGCTGGAAGTGGCTGCGCCAAAGTATGGCAGTTGGACATGGAAGGTGAGAATTTCCCCCCTCTTTTATCTCATTATGCTAATTCTGCTGCGAAGGACATTTCAAACTAATTCATACCCTCGATTCTGACCCATATATCA